TTTTTTTTTTTTTTTTTTTTTTTTTTTTTTTTTTTTTTTTTTTTTTTTTTTTTTTTTTGTTTTTGTTTTTGAATTGACTTTGAATATATATTTTATTAAAAAAAAAAAAAAGAAAAAAAATATTTATTTTATCTTATTTTGATCATTACTTTTATTTTAAATTTAACAAATAATGACATAATTTCAAATTATATATATATATATATATATATATATTTGTATATACTTCTAAAATATTTATTTTATCCTATTTTGATCCTTACTTTTATTTTAAATTTAACAAATAATGACGTAATTTCAAAAAATAAAATAAATAAATATATTAATTTTATAAATAAGAGGTCAAATAAGTTAAAAATGGTTAGAAAAATAAGATTATTTTTCTGAAATTTAAAAATATTAAAATGAAATAAAATTTAAAGTTTAAAAATAAAAATAAAAATAAAAATAATAAAATTTAAAAGCTAACTTGTGACATACCTAAACTCAAAATATTAAAATGAAAACAAAATCTAAGTTGGTATACATTTAATCCTAATAATGTGAAAACAAAATTGAAGTCAAAAGCGGTTTTTTATTGCATAATTCTTCACGTTCACTCTGTAAAATTTTTAGTTTTTATTATTTTTTAAAATTTTATCTATTGTGAAGTGGGAATTGAATCATCGACCTTTAAAATAATAATTAGTATCTTATCCACTGAACTATGCTTGAAATGACTTTTAACCTAATTATCAAAATTTGTTACATTAGAAAGTTTGGAAAATAACTTAATTATTTTTTTAATTTAATCTTAATTTTTAAAACGATAAAAATAAGAAATAATATTTAATAAATTATTTCAAAATATATATATATACATATATATATATATATATATAGAGAGAGAGAGAGAGAGAGAGAGAGAGAGGTCAAACAAACATTGCATGAAGCAATCTCCTAGATTTGAGTTGGAGTAAAATTGAAACAAAGGCTTCCATTCCCATTTATTGACTTTTTTCCAACTTCCATATTCAATTCCAATTATTGCAATATGCTCTTAATTCCAAATTTGGCTTCTTAAATTAATTTAATTTACTCGCTAACTTTAAATTTAAAAACGCTGAACTTAATATAATGAAAATTCTAGTTAGTTTCGATGACACCCGTTTACGGAATTCGTTAAGTTTTAAGTGTTTTGTGCCGATGTTGGAAGAAAAGCACCATCCAATCACCTTGAAATATTAGTCGGCTAAAGTTTATCAGACTAATCCCGACAAAAACCCTAAACCTAGTGAATTATAAAGGAACCTTATGTAACGTAAAATTAATAACACGACCAAAAGTTTTTAACGGTAAGTAAACAAATTTTTGAAACAATGTCGATTTTAAAAGTTTAAGGACCAAAATGCAATCAAACTCAAATCTCGAACCAAAAAAAAAATAAAAAATAAATAGATTTTTCAAAAATAGGAAGGAAAAAAAAGGTAAATATTTTTGTTATTAATGCCATAAAATAGCGTTTAAAATAAACAAGTTGGACATGTGCTTCAAAATCCAACTTCCTTAATGACATTATTATTATTATTTTCTCCTAAGTTTGAAGTCTCAAGGTTTTGCTTCACTTCTAATCCATCACACCTATTTTTATGTCTTTAATTTATGTATTGCTTAAACTATAGATTATAAATTATGGCTCGATCGTCAGAACATTTTGAACAAGTCGACGTCAAAACAACCACAATTATTCAATTAGTGAAAAAAAAATTAAGGACATTATTGTAACTTCGGTTTGAAAATTCGTCATATAATTAATAAAATAAATAAGACCGTCTATCATTAGTTCAAGGAATTTTTCTCAGTTGAGGAATGTGAAGCAAGCTCTCTTTTAATTCGTGAATGGGAAGTAGACTTGTCTCTGAACTGAAAATGTCAATTCCTTGGTCGTTGAGATCTAAAGGGAAGCAGACTGAAAATGTCATTTCTTCTCTAAACTAAAAATGTTAGTTCCTGTCATTTCTTCTCTAAACTAAAACTGTTAGTTCCTTTGTCAATGTGATCCAAAGTCGTGGTGTAACGACTCAAGCTCATCGCTAACATATATTCTTTGGGCTTTCTCACACATGTAATGGAAAACAAACTTGTCTCTAAACTGAAAATATCATTTCCTTTGTTGTTGAATCTGCTTAATCTTGCTACACTACATGATACAAGTGCCCGATGAAGTTGAAGCAGACATAGTTAGTACAAAGAACATCTCTCAAGCTTAAGTACGAGTGATTTAGACACGTGCTCGACTCGACTGGTTCGGCTTATAAAAAAACAAAAGTACGAATAAAGAAAGAAACGAGAGAAGAGAAGAAAAGAAAACGATGAACAGCATCAACTTATTGAATTAGAGAGTTCAAAAAGACAGTGGGTGGGTTCTTTATTAATGTCCCTAAGTTGTTCCACCTAAACCTACAAATATGAACAACAAAAAGAAGAAAAGAAGTTTGATAGTACAAATCAGAGGCCAAATTCTTCAAGCTGTGGCACTAAGAATTTGCTCTATTTCCTCCAGCGACCGCCCCTTTGTCTCGACGATATTACGAGCTACATACAATACAGCAAGCAAACAGACGATGCCGAATCCGAAGTACACCGTACTAATGCCAAACTTGTTTACGAAACTCAGGAAATAGAGGCCGATGAAGAAGTTCGAGATCTGTTATGGGAGCAATACAGTAAACTTCACTAACAAAACGAAAGCAAAAGCATATATAAACTAAGCGTTATGGCCTCAAACTCCCCGTAGTCAATCTAGTGTGTGTGTGTGTGTGTGTTCGGGTTGCTCTTTCAACTACGTAAATTGATATCAAAACGCATTATTTCGAAAAACTTACCCAATGAGTTCCTAAAGATAAAGCAACAGCTTTCGCTCGGATTCTCGACGCAAATATTTCTGGTAGAAGAAGGCCTGGGACCGGACCTGCCCCAAGCGAGAACGATAACACATAACTGCAAAATGGAGTTCAAATTTATAATCCAAACATGACAAAAGAAACATACAAGCCATTTGACTCAGAGAATATGAACAATTGTCTTACAGAACAGTCCCAAGAACAGCTAGGGTGCCAGAATAGGGTGCCAAGGCGCTCCAACTGAAGGTCAGTGAGAGCAGCAACATAGATGCGGCCTAAAACAGTCACCAAGGCTAATGTCATCTCCCAAGAGCGATTCAGATTAACCGTTCATGTCGACAGATAAGTAGAAAACATACCATTCCACAAAAGCTAATTGTTAGAAGACTTTTCCGTCCCTGGCGATCCATTAAAGAAGATGCAATAGTCGTGCCTGGAAGGAAGAAGATTACTCGTCTTGTTTTACAAAAGAACATGTTGATACACAGACACTAGTGTCCCAAGACGACTCAGGAAAAGGAAGACCAAGAACTAACCAAAGACGTTAGCTGCTGCAACGAGAGCACTCGCTGCAATGTCGGAAGCAACTCCAGCGCTACGAAATACCGAAGTCGAATAATATACGACGGCGTTAATCCCGGATAGCTGCTGGAACAGGAAGAGTGCAGCACCAATGCTAACAACTGCAACAATATATGTTAGTAGCAACCAGAAAAGCTTTTGAAGAGGCTAAAAACTCTCAAAATTTGTGGCAACTAAGAAACACAGCCAGACAGCAATGAACCATCTAATTCATTTTATGAAGCATAAGTCTCGAGATCATAAAATGCAAAAACTCGAACTTAAATCAAAATACTTAATAGCATGGCAATACATTTATACAAAACTTCTACCCTAAGCACACGCAATGGAGCCGTAGACAATCAAGTAAAATCCAATCCACGAATTAATTTGATCTATGGACAGCATCTTTGTTGTGATATCCAACATCGGTTGGAGACGAGAACGAAACACCCTTTACAAGGGTGTGGAAACCTCTCCCTAGCAGAGGTGTTTTAAAAACCTTAAGGGAAAGCTCAAAGAGGACAATATCTGCTAACAATGGGCCTGAGCCGTTACAAATGGTATCAGAACCAGGTACCGGGCGATGTGCTAGCTAGGAGGCTGTACTCCGAATGGGGTAGACATGAGGCAATGTGCCAATAAGGATGTTAGGCCCCGAAGGGGGGTGGATCTGGTGGGGGTCCCACATCTATTGGAGGAAGGAATGAGTGCCAACGAGGACGCTGGGCCCTAAAGGGGGGCGGATTGTGATATTCCATATGGGTTGGGGAGGAGAACGAAACTCCCTTTATAAGGGTGTGGAAACCTCTCTCTAGCAGACATGTTTTAAAAACCTTGAGGGGGAGGCCCGAAAGGGAAAGCCCAAAGAGGACAGTATCTGCTAGCGGTGGGTCTGGCTGTTACAGTTGTGGTAAAGGTCATAATGCCAGAGGAATCATTACTGTAGGGCATAGAGGGGGAGGTCATAAGTGTCTATACCATAAAATCAATTTTCGATGGAATGAAAAAGACAGAAGGAAAAAGCATAAAAGATCACAAATATAGTTAAACAAGACAAATTTGTGCAAATTATTGAGATTACTCTTCCAATAGCGGCTACTGAACAGATCAGACCACCCTGCTTCAGGTTCTACAGAACCTTGGCTGGCTGCTGTGAAGTCTTGAATAACTTCTACTACTCTATCTTTTCCATAGAGTGTTTTAATAGCTCTCTCAGCCTCTGGGAGTCTCCCTTGCTGCACAAAATGATCGACGTACCGCTTTATGCTTCGTTACGAGTACGTGCAGCTATGTATAACTACAAAATAATGTATTGTACAATTTATGGTAACCTGATAAAGCCAACGTGGACTTTCGGGAGATATCGCCATTCCAACTGCCAATAGAACGGCTGGAACCATAGATATACCAAACATCGTCCTCCACCTGATAAAAGAATTAGCACATGTTAATAGAATGGCTGAGGCACTACAAAGATGAGATATCAACCAGATGCATTCAGATATGGTATGACTGCCTATTCATACATTTATAGCTTAGGGACCTATTGTACAAGTTGAGTCATTTACTATATCTATTGTACAAGATGAGCAACACATACCAAGCAGGGTTGCCCACCAAAGGTAATCCAGCTACCAACGCTGCAAGGATTCCAACGCATATAAACAGTTGATTCACAGATCCAAGCGTTCCACGAATTTCAGTTGGTGAAATCTGCATATTTTTTTCAGCATAAGATGGAGATTTGATCGTAATATCAAAAGCTTGGTGAAAACTTTTAAGAACAGATACCTCAGATATGTAAAGTGGGACAATAGCTGATGAAATACCAATGCCAAGGCCTGTGAGTAGGCGCCCAATTATCATAGTTTGCACACTCTGAGCAGTAGCACTGAAATTTTCGACGTAGATTTAAGCATTTGCTTTCGAAAGACAATAACACTTTCATACGACGATATACGATACCAATACCGACCATAGAATTGCTCCAACTGTGAGTGGGATTGCATCCAACTGAAAGCTCCTAGTTCTGCCGAACTTGTCAGCGAATGTCCCGCCAACAAAAGATCCAATTGTGGCACCAATAAGGAGTGTACTGACTATCCATCCTATAAAAGGTTGAGCTTGACAGTCATCGAAACGACACTAAAATACGAGCTTAGTGTAAAATTTAGTTTCTGATTCACAAGAAAGTAGCCTCCTAAGAGAATTTCACATTTCTTAACTATATTACAGTCCTTACCTTGTACAACAGTATTTTCCAAAATTCCAAGATCCTTGGAGAGGTACTCAAGCGCACCGTTTACGACCCTGAAACAAACAAACAGTGAAACTGTAAACGAACAAACCGTTTACAACCCTGCAAATATGTTTAAGCCACGAAAATAGTACCCGAGGTGGTAACCGAATAATATGGCTCCTAAACAAGCAACGCCAACAAATGGTAGAACAGTTCCGGAAGATTTATTGTTAGGCTTGGCAGGAACAACATCCCCCACATCCTCATCTGCAATATATGTTAGTGGTAAGAATGCATCTTGGCTTTAAACGTCTTTGCAAAGAATCCATGCCACACAAACAAAGCCTACCTATGACATACGAGTATCAAAAGCGACCCACAACGGAATAGCATATCAGACGATATTATAGTAATCTTATTACTTCCTAACAAAGAATCGGTCAGAAATCACGAACCTCCACAATGGTATGATATTGTTCATTTTGAGTATAAGCGCTCATGGCTCTACTTTAGGCTTCCCCAAAAGGCCTCATACCAATGGAGATCTATTCATTTCTTATAAACTAACGATCATTTCTGGGACTCCAACAACATTTTCCGAAGAAATCATTATTGCATGAAGGCCATAAAAATTGAGACAAGATTATGGAGTTCCACCTTTTGAAGAACAGGTGCGTTTGATCAATGCCAAACAAAGATGTGTAGAAAGTGCTCAACCACAATCATCTTATGAAGGATTTTCATAATTAAAATGGCACAAACAACGCAACGAACATTCGTAAGCAACAACACGATCACTTAGCAACACGTAAATGGTTGACTTCTTAAAATAAAACCATGCAGAAAAAGGCATTCAAGACAGAAATAATATTCTTACAAAAGCATTTTAAAGTACCTACAGAAGAAGCCCTTTCACTTTTAAACAGCTCACACACAATTGACATATAAGCTATAGAATAGTTTTGTGGAGGGGCGGATCCAAAACTAGAACTAATTAATGTAGGGCCGAGATAAAAATCAATCAATTGATTGACATACAAACAATAATTCTCAATCAATCAATTGATTGACATACAAACAATAATTCTTAAAAGGGACTCAAGTCGAGCCGCATGCCAAAACTCATATCGAAACCTCGACTTTTGAGATTATGGTCAGGGACCTACCCGGCCCTCTTCAAGCTATCTTCAACACTTTTGTCGCATCGTTCTTTCGAACCTTGCGTATGCCTCAACTTAGTTTCAATGCACACTCTTAGTGTGTTGGATGATGCACTGTCCTCCTCAATCGTATCATGACACTTCTCAATCTTGACCCTCATGCCGCTAGATGGGCGTCACTTGAGGATCACCCTTTGCCTGCCTCGACATGTGGGGGGTCACAACTTAATTTATGTCAATGAGGTTGTTACACTTTACTCCACACCTAGTCATCATCCTCAATGGCTTTCTTGAGTCGTATCGTCGATTTTTATCATTTTTTTATTATTATATAAAAATGTGTGAAATAAAACATTAAATTGATTGATTCAAGAGTGGCTAGCTACTAAAAGGGAGCGGGTAGTGTCGCTCTTTGTTGATGGCTAATGACCCAATGTGGCCAATACAGACATGCAAGCAGCCCCGAGATTGTGCTTTGCAGCCTTGGGTTCATGATATTAGCCAAACAGCATGCTTTTTATTACTTAAACACCAATTAAAAAGCCACACAAAACTCACACACAATTGACATGGATCTATGCATGACAACTTGAAGATCAGTGAAAGATTTCCACACACTTATAAAGGGTGTTTCGTTCTCCTCCCCAACCGATGCGGGATCTCCTAATCCACCCCCCTTCGAGGCCCATATGTGGGATCTCCTAATCCACCCCCCTTCGAGGCCCATATGTGGGACCTCCGAGTCCACTCCCCTTCGAGGCCCATATGTGGGACCTCCGAGTCCACTCCCCTTCGAGGCCCATATGTGGGACCTCCGAGTCCACTCCCCTTCGAGGCCCATATGTGGGACCTCCGAGTCCACCCCTTTGGTCCCCAACATCCTTGCTGGCACACTGCCTCACTGGCACATTGCCCGGTGTCTAGCTCTGATACAATTTTAACGGCCCAAGCTCACCGGTAGCAGATATTGTTCTCTTTGGACTGTCCCTACGGAACTTCCCCTCAAGGTTTTTTAAAACATGTTTGCTAGGGAGAGGTTTCCACACCCTTAAGGTGTTTCGTTCTCCTCCCCCAACCAATCCAATGTCAGATCTCACAATTGAGATGGAAACATGTGAACACATTTCAACAAACACAATTACATGCCAACTTGAACATCAGTGAAACAAAACAAGTTCAATAGATCATCCACAAGAAGCAGAAGCAGAAGCTGACCCAGAACAAAGATCAAACGAAGATAGATATTGAATCGAACAAGGTAGATATAGAGAGAGTACCATAAGCATGTGTCTTGAGTGACTTGTAATTAGCAGACGAGCGAGAAACGCCATCAAATCCAAGCCGAACACGCCTCATCTCAGTCTCCATGATTTCAGAACCAAAACTCAAACCACAGAAACCACTTCTTTCAGTCATTCGAAGCTTTCCTAATCCCAAACGCCTTCCAGATTCCCCCAAGACCCTCCGGTTTTGAAATCCAGAAGAAGAACAACAACTTACGCCACTTTTGACCAACGCCGAAGCCTGCATTCTTAACTCCACTGAGAAAATTCCACACCCCAAAAAGTCAAATCCATAAATTAAGCAATCAAACTCAAATCTAAATCAATAAACTACTCCCAAGCACACAAAACCCAAATGGGTACTCTATTCAAACCAAAAAAACAGGGAGAAATCCACATACCCGAAATGAAACCCACAAAGCAAATCGGTTGATTTCTTGCGATCAATCAATTTCTCCGATCTCTTCTTCGTTATCTCAAATGGGTTTTGTCAGTGACAGCGAAGAACTGCGTTGAAGAATCCGCAAGAGGAAAAGAGAGAGTAGAAGGGGCGCAGCGATAACAAAAACAACGAAAAAGTAAACCAAACAGAGACTCGGATTGTTTATGGCAGATTCCACTTTCTTTATTAACCTTCTTCTCAAAGGTATCAATCGGATTGGATTGCTCATAAACCTTAATTCGATGAGATGCATTAATTAACTTAACCTTCACATGATTCGAAAAGATGAGGATCCCGTTGTTTACTCCACAGTTGAATCGAGGCTGAGCCATCGCAACAAACTGCCGATAGAATTTTACGGATCGTGAAGAGTTTAATTTCAAAGCCTAATGTATAATCTTTAATTAGTTACATGATCCAAATGCATTCAACTAAATACTTTTTAATATTAAAATAAATATATTAAATTATAAATTTAAATTTTGCTATAAATTATTTGATTTATTTTGTGATTCGCTTAGTTTAAAATTTTAATTTTTTATCAGATTAGCGATTAAATAGACAAATTTACCCAATTTAAACCAATATTATTTTTTTACCACAAAACTTAATATTTTTTTAATCTCGTTTAAATTTTACTTAAAAAATATCTATTTTAGTCTAAAAATTTAAAGTTTATTTTTTTTAGATATCTATTTTAGTATTTTAATTAATTCTTATTTGAATTTGAACGTATCACATTAAATTATGCAGAGTTTTGTAAGAAAAATAATTAATTTTTTAAATATAAAATTAAAGTAGGAAAATAGAAATTAATTGCAAATTAAAATGAATTAAAATTAAAATTATGAAGATTTAGTTAAATGATTGGGGAATGAGGGGTCGGTAGAAGGATAAATTTGGTGATGGAAGCAAATGAGACAGTTTTATCTTGTCGTGCCTCCGTGGATCCACGTCATACTTCGACAACTCTGTTTTCAGTCCACGTGGAAATGTAACCGCTTTCCCAAACTTGGTAATCCCTTCTGTAACTGATTCTAGAAATTTACTGTAACTGTAAAAATTAGTTGAGAATATATATATATATTTTTTTTATTTTAGGGATAAAAAATTTTGACCTAAAAAAAGACAAAAATCATAGGGCATCGACGGCCCACACAATAAAAGGTGGGACCCACCTCAATAAGATGAACGTTGGAGAAGTGTTGTATCAGTGAAAACGGAAGCACTGGATCTTCACCCCCTTAGGCATACAAAACCCAAATTTCAGACCGTTGGAAAAGCTTTTTTTAATTATCTCTTCTTCCCATTCAAAGTAAAACAAGGCTTCCTCATCCTTCAACAATGGCGGATAAATTCCACCAGAACTCCACCGCCGATTACCCAATTTCTCTCCATCTCACGGCGGAGATTTTTTCCATGGAAAGAGGCCCGAGGTACAGAGCCTACGCAGAGCTCAGAGAATCCAAGCTCCGGCTGAGAAACGCACTGTACCGCGACGACGAACAGCCAGAAAAGCCCACGCCTCCGGCGAAGAAGCAAGTTAAATTTATGGGTTTGGAGACCGTAAAGAAAAGGTCAGCGGCGGTGGCGCAATCGGTGCCGGATTTCTCTGCAGTACTGAGGAAGGAGAACAGAAAGCCACCGCCGGGACTGTCGCCGGTGATGGAGATGACACCACCAGGGAAGACGCTGGGGAAGAACATTGCGGGATTGTCGGCGAATCTGAGAGGGATTAAGTCGGCGAGTGCAGGGGAAAAAAGGGTCGGCAGATTGACGGACGTGAGGAAGAGCTACGCCGGATTTGAGGAGGTGAAGGGGCTTACAACGGCGGCGGCGAACTCCATTAATGGCGAAAACAGGAGATCGAGAGGGAAAACTGTATTGGGAGTTAATCAGATTTGAAACAAAATCTGTGGTTTATGTACTTGGGAATTGATTATAAAATCATTTCAAATCATTTCAAGAACAGAGAGTTTTGAGCAAAAAATTGCACACAAAAGCCTATAATATTACTTGACAATTCAAACTCAGATCCAAAGCTCTGTTACAATTTCTTCAAGCAATACTTGAAGAATGTACCCATCAATTTCAGCCCCATTCTCCAGTTCTTCAATGCTAAAATCACTCCATTTCCCCAAGGAATGATTCATTTCCCATTCAATTATCTCATCAGTCATCATCCCAACAAAACGTACCCATTTTTTGATCTCCTTCTCGACGTCTCGGATTAATTCTCTTGCGTTTTGTGCTCGGGATGTTCTTATCCAACCATTGGATCCACCATAGTATAGCTCGCTATGTTTCGAGTCTAAGCATTCTATCAGACAGTCGAAAAGAAACACTCTTAGATGGTTTACCTCCTTGCTGTCGACGTCGCTAAAGTTTGTCCACATTTCACACGCGAATGTTTCGAGTTCGTCGATGAAAAGTGGCAAAATGAGAAGCTTGTTTTCATCCCTGCCGAATAAAATTTCGGTGTTGAGCATAACCTCTTTCGCACGAGCAAGTTTCAAACCGGTAAGGCTGTAGATTTGCAGTATGCTAGAAATGGCATTGAAGACGTCAGTCAATCTTTCACTCCAGACGTTCCATTCACTAAAGGAGGTTGCGAAATCTAAAATATCGGCATCGAGTTCAGACTGATGTGACTGATCGATGGAACAATCAACAGACTCGGCTGGCATTATGCATCCTGTGATGAAAAAGAGCAGAGGAGATTGAGCATTTTGTGTGCATTTTGTATTGTTAGATGAATTAAACTTCCAACCTGAGCTCTCATCCATGCTACTGGACGAGAATGAAGCTTCAAGAACGGATCCCGGGCTAAGTTGATCTCGTCCTTTCGATATTTTTGTGAGCCGTTCTTCCTTTGAATCATTCTAAAACATGACAGCAACATATAACATATATATAGGAAGAAATCACAGTAAGAAATATCGACTGAAGGGACGGAAAGGATTCTTACACAGTAAGTTACATCCACATCGACTGCAGAAACCTCCGACGAATCTTTCCGTGCAGCTTCTACTGCAGCTATCAGTTCTTGAATGATTACAGAAGCGGGCTTCTTCAATGCCGACTCATTTCTCTCATCGTCTTCTTGAGAAGTTAATTCCTTTAACTTTTGTTCCAGGATATCTAAGGCATCTCCTCCAAACAAGGATGGCTTTCGGGATGACGTATTTCTCTCATTCTCCATGCTCTCGATCTCCGTTGCAACCGTGGTTTTCTGCCTAACGGGAGAATCAAAGATGAACGAAACAATGTCATTATCCCTTTTGCAAACTCTGTCAGCAGCATTTCTATGACCAGCTAGCCTATTACTGGCACAAAGCTGCTTTTTGGGGAGAGCTTTGCGTTTGAGCCTCGAACTTGTTCCAGACAAGTTATCACACAGTGGGGGTCGTTGTTTTGCAGCCGATGAATTGACAGACGGTTTGCTTTCGATTTGTGCACTTAAGTGAGCAGTCCTCCTTTTCCTTGGTGAGGTACCTGACTGTGATGAGAAATCTTCACCTCCATTAAAAGACTTCCTTTCTAGGCCATACTTAGAATTCCCTCGACTGCAGCCATTAAGACTTCGATTTAAAGCAATGAAATTTTTGGTCCCAATCACAGCATTAGCAGGCGATGTCGTTCTTCTGCTTGGTGGAATATTTGACCTCGACGTGGATGACATCCTATCTCTGACTGATATCATATGATCTCGAGATTGACTGCAATGCTTGACAATGGATGATTCATTTGTCGTAACCTTGCGAGGCACTTTGTCTGCAATAGAATCACCATGAGATATCATGCAACCCCCCTTAGATTCATTATGTATGGAAGCAAAAGTTTTAGGTCGATCACAAATGGTTGGGCGAAATTCAGCTCTATCTTGCTCGAGTGGCAAGTGCGTTATTGTTTCACTCCTTCCAGATCCCTGAAAAGAGGCATTGCCATGAGTTGAACCCAGGGGTGGAATTGCAGAGGGATATTCTTCCACATTCTGCAAATCGTTGCACGTTTTACACGATGCCTGTCCCACCAAGGACTTCGAAAAATGATGACCTTCCAATGGCAGAACACCAATTTCCCTCGATATATCCTGATTCAAGGAACAATGCAGAGAGTTTGGAAGCGTGATAGCAGATTTCGCTCTGTTTGACATCTGCAGACCAGGCTCCAATATTTTGCTAGCAACATCGACCAACCGGGACGCTCTAGACACATTCCTCCCTAAGGGAAGCCTAGGACTTTTTGTCGATGAAGGAAGTTTAGGAGTAGGTGGAGGCTTTCTTGATCGTGACACGACACTCTTATACTGCAGTGCCTCAGCTCCTATTCGTCTCATCACCTTCCCCTCCTCCACGTTCCTCGTTTTTTTAAGCTTTAGAGGCCTGGCTTTATCCAAATTCATATCCTCCACTGTTTTCTTTTCCACATTATCACAAGGATTAGAACAACCAATTTTCTTCGGTCTATCTCGACTTGTAACAGGCATGGCCTCAAGCCCCATGAGTCTAGCAACAAGTCCTGGAACTCGCGTTTCATTCTTGTGCCTTAAATCGGTACAATGACTTCCATTCTTCTTAACATTTGGGAAACCGCCTCGATTTTCATCAGCAATCTATTTCTCAAAGATGGCACAACAACATCCAAATCAAAGAGCAAGAACATAATAAGCTTAAGAAGACAACAATCTCACAAAGTAATTACCAAATGATTCTTTGAAGCCAACATCTTATCACCACCATTGAACTTGCTAGCTACTTGTTTAGAACGAGCTAGAAAAACACGACAGAACCAGATTTAAACTTCAAACTAATATGCAAATAAGGCAAAATCTAAGCTAAGCCCAGCAGATAGAAGAAAGAAAGTAACCTGGAGGAAGCAATTTCCGGGAGAATAGCTTGTTCTTAGCCAACCTCCGGTTCCAATCAAAGAGCTGGAAGAAAATGCCAACACAACCACCAGGCTTATGAGTCTTCTTCTCAGAAATAGATAAACAAGACGATGTTCTTCCTGTATTTTCCATTAATCTCCAACAAGAATCAGAACTCTCAACTTTCTACTAAAATCCCCTCATCAACCCCCAAAAACCCCCTTGCCCTGTTCTTCCCAAAAGCTTCAAGCATTGTTCATACTCAGAACATTCAAACTCTCTTGAATTTTCTCTATAGCTCTCCAGAAGAGTAGAATAAAAAAGGGAGTGAAAAACAGGAAGACCGCACAGAAATTGGCTAAAGATACTCAATAACTCAGAAAGAATACCAAACCAGCAAATGCAAGATAATCACGAAAGCCAAAAAAAAAAAAAAAAAAAAAAAA